TCTCTCCTGCTCTCTGTGCTCATAAATATTGTGTTTTGCGAATTCCTAATAAAGCTGTGCTTATCTACACATTTTCCTGTTTCTGATGTGAGACAACGGAATAAGTGTGAAATAGTGACTAAAGCGGGGCTCAGGAGTCGCTTTAGCAGCTTGTGTCCATGTTGCATTGACTTCTTCTGGAGTTCCACTTCTTACTGAAATAAGAACCGCTCTATTTGTTTTTATATGCTGGGGCTTCAAGTTCAACTCTTCATTTTTGCATTTTAATGAACTAAAAGTAATATTATGATAACAGTTTGTCAAAATAAAATGAACCTGAATGGGTTTTTTCTTTTAGGAAAATTAATTGTTTAGATTAATTGACTAATTTGCAAAATAGTTAATCGATCAATCACTAGAAAAATAGTCATTAGTGGCCGCTTTAGTTTTCATCAGTGCCATTAAACCTGCACTGTGTCCCTTTGTTTTTTCATGTATTTATCAAACTTTGTAAATGCCGGTCAGCAGATTCTTTCTCCTTTAGGATGAAACCAGGCTGGTTGTTGGTGGGAGCCAGAACGTTTCCCAGTATGTCAGGGGTTAGTGGTTACTGGTGTCTTGTCATTGCTGTTCTCTCTTATTTGCATGTTGAGTTCAGGCGATCTGGCATCTCTGCTGCTCTGTAATATCTGATCGGTGCTGCTAATTGGCAAACATGCAGACAGGAGTTGTTTGAACAGGAAGATTAGAAAATGTAACGTCACAGATAACGAGCAGATCACTGCTGAAGACCCCACAGTAAAAACCACCTCTTAGATTTGATAGTTAAATACAAGCAGTAAACAACTTCAACATACAAAATTGAATAAGGGTTTTCAATAGTACTGATTAAGTCAGAGTGATTAAAAAAAAAAAAGTTCTGCTCAAAGACAAATCGCCTGACTGGCCTGATTTTGTCGAAATCTGTCCAAACCATCAAACATAACTCAGCCGTACAGCTCTGACATTATTATTCTGATATTGCCGTCTGAAATTGTGGCCGTTTGAGAAGCGGGAACCCCAGTCGGGTCGAACCCTCTTCGCTCTGTTCCGGGAAATAATTAATCTTAACCTGGATGGCAGTGGTTAATTAAATATTGAGGCAGCTTAAGCGGCTGCACTGTCGCTTTGCTTTATCGGTCACTTCGCCAGATGACAGTCTCATCTCTTTTCCCTGCTCTGCATCTGGAGACACACTCTTCTCTCCTTATCTGGAACAGTGGCTCCATCAGATTAACACACAGCTGCCGGAGACGCGTTGTACTTTAGAAAATAAAACACTCCAGATGCCCTCAAGAGTCCCAGGAACAGTTCACCGAAGAGCTGCCGAGAGCTGGTCTGAGTTTAGACATGCAGGTATTATATGAAGCACATTTATTAGATGAATACATAAATAAATCCATAATAAATAAAATCCTCTTTTCTTGCTGCTGGGTACAAGCTCAGCCCGTTCAGCAGATGAGTTGTGACGTTTCAGGAGAGTCTGGGATTACAATGGCAGGCTGTGAGGTTCTAATCTGTCCTGCTGCCTCCATCTCCAGCTGCTTTTATTCTCTGTTCAGCCGGCACAGGTATCAGCAAATTTTATAGCGAGGGCCTGAGAAAAGACAGGAAGAGCCTTTTTACGGGACCACAGCGGGGATTAAACCCATATGTTATTAAAAGCAAAATATGACATCGTGGGAAACAGCAGTTAACGATGAGAAGACTGATTGTTAAGCACCTAGCTTAGATTAGCCGCTAGCACAAAGACGGGCTGGCTGTCTCCAGAGGTACAACGATCCATCTATCAACACCTCCAAAGCTCACTAATTAACACATGATATTCTGTTTAATCCTTACAGAAACTAGAGGCGCAGAAAACAAACAATCAGTTTTCCAGTGACCACTGATGCCCTCTTGGCTGGTTGCCTGGCAACTGCTGAACAGGGAACACCAGTTAACCCTCAATAAAACGTTGAATTGTCCTTTTTTACGCTTCAATTTTGTAAATGGATTAAATGAACAAGACACAGCAGGATCATTAGTGAGCCTAACAGGTGCTGGATGACTTTGATTTTATTAGCTTGGATTGAACAGACTCGCAGTTTACTACAGTTTACAGCGTGTACGCTACGATAAGCTAATCTTGTGAAGTTTGCAAGCTAGGCTAAGCTAACTTAATCACAGCCTTAACCTTGACCAGTCTACGTGCTAAGCTAAGCTAACTAAGTTTGGGCAGTCTGATTGCTATGCTTGAGCAGTGTGTATACTAAGCTAAGCTAACTAATCAACAGACTTTATTTGATCTTGTCTGTGTGCTACGTGACGCTGTAATGCAGTCTATATGCTAGGCTAAACTTGCCAAATGACCGCCTTAACCTTGTCCAGTCTGTATGCTATGCCAAACTTATTCAACTAAAGTCTTAACCTTGACCAGTCTACGTGCTATGCTAAGCTAAGTTAACTAAGTTTGTGCAGTTTGATTGCTATGCTTGAGCAGTGTGTATACTAAGCTAACTAATTTACAGCCTTTATTTGACCTTGTCTGTCTGCTAGGTGAAGCTAATGGAACTACTGTTTTTATCTGTCCAACCTGTATACTAGGCTAAGCTAACTAATTTAATGCAGTCCATATGCAAGGCTAAACTTGCCAAACTACAACCTTAATCTTTTCCTGTTTTTATGCTAACCTAACTTAACCAAAATACTGCTAGCTAAACTATAGCCTCAATCCTATGCACTGTGAATGCTTGGATAAGCTAACAAATGTTGTGTAGTCTGCTTGCTATGTCGTGCTAAGCTAACTATTTCCTTAGTCTGTTGAGTCTGCTAGGCTACAATAAATAAAGCCATAACCTTGGCCAGTTGGTTTGCTAAGCTAGTGCAGTCTGTGTGCTATGCTAAGCTAGCTGCATCACATCTTTTATGTAGTCATATCTGTATGCTAGGCTAATGTACAGAAACAGTGGCCTTAATTTTGGTACTTAATAGAAACACAAACAGGCCAAGAACCTGCAACTTAAGAAACATGAGAAGGCGCCACTATGTCAGATGCAAGCTGCTGCTGAAGCTGTTAGCTTCATTTTTAATCACACAGTTCAGAGTATTTCTGCTCAGAAAGTAAACAACCAGTAAATACCAGCTAGTTTTTGGACACACTGTGCAAAGTAAGTACAGTAGTGCCAGATGTGTCTGTTGGTCAGATTAAAGCTTTGGGAGGATTACTGTCTGCCTCTCCACCACCCACAGCAGCCAGACAGACCCACGCGTGTCTCTCGTGTTTTTGTGGCTGCATGTTACGTGAATTCTCTGAATGTCCAGTAGTCTGTTCTGTGGTCTCACTGACCTGCATGAGGACAGCCGTGGAGCTGCAGAGCCTCAGTCTGGACTCTGGAGGCCTCCTGTGATGTAACTTCTCTGAAACCGAGCCGGACGTCCGAACTGATTTGATTGAATAAGAGTGACGCAACAGTCCCACAGGTCCAAACAGAAAATAAAGTAGATGCTGGGTGGTGACACGTCCCGTCTCTGTGTTAAAAAGAAAGATGAACCTGCTGTCATTTTATTCAAAACCTGCGAGGAAATATATTGATATATAATTAATTAAAGGTCTGACGTGTCCCCTCAGGTGAGAGTAATTTGGTTTCGCCCACAGACTAAATAGAAACATGGCTCCATCTAGTGGTCATTTCTGATTACTGCGTCTGCACGTCGGTCCGTTTCACTCAAACTTGAGTTTCAAATAAAATATTTTTATGTAGTGAGAGAGCCAAAATACACAAATGAATCAATAAGAGAATAATAAAATACAAGTGGAAATAAAAAGAATAAATATATATATACATTTTTTAAAAATGTGGCAATATAAAGCAATATTAATCAAAAATGAATCCATGAAAGAAAAAGCTAATAAAAGTAGAAATATAAAGACAAATAAAATAGTAAAAATATTTATTTGTTTTATTTGATGTATTTATTAATTTTCTTATTATTTGTTAATTTCTTTTTTTAATTTCATTTTTAATTTTTTTTAAATAATTTCGCATTAAAAGCAAAAGGCACAATGACGTATCTACTACGCATTTTTCTGTATATATTTCCTTTGCTTTTAAAGCAACATAAAAATAAATAAAAATTTTAACTAAACAAAAAATCCTAAAATAAATTTTAAAGAAAATAGTCAAAAAATAAAAATGTATTATTTTTATTATTTTATTTGTCTCTATAGTTCTACTTTTATTATACTTTTCTTCTATAGTCATTTTTAGCTAAATAATATTTAAATAATATTTCATAATTGTTGTCAGCAAATCAAATTATTTCCATTTACTACTTTTTAAAAACAGTTGTTAAAATTCTCAGTAATATTAATAATAGTGAATAAGTTAACACACACATCAAATGTATGAAATGTTGAAAAATGGTTTCTGTAAAGACTTTTTGTTTTTCTTTATCAAGTTCAGTAAACATTTTAGTTTTTATGGTGGAGTTTACAGGAACTGGCTGCCGTCATCCTGCCTGTGAACATGAGCTTTCCCTTTTCTTACAGACATTTTATGCACAAAATTTACTAAACTATAGGTTGTCATCCACTGTAACAAGGCCGGGGAATACAGGCAGAACTATTGTGCGAACTTTGAAAACATGTATTATTGATTCATGCTAAAGAATCTGTATTTATGCAAATATTTACCACTTCCATCAGTTTTTAATCACATCTAAGTGGTCTCAGTTTATTTTTAACTTACACATTGTGAGGTCAGCTTGACTGTCGGTTTTACAGCAATTCAGTTCCCTTTTTGTTCACTTCATCTGGACTGGATGCTAAACAAATGAGTCCAAGCTTAAATAAAACAGTCCTATGAATCCAACATCTCAGACATTCAAAGTAATCTCAGCTGACTCTCAAAACAGGAAATATTGGAAAACAACTCAACACAATAAAGACCGGTAAAGACTGTGATAAATGCTGAAATGAGTACAACACACAACACAAAGGAAACAATTTGAATCATTTATTTTGGACTGAATCATTGAATACAAAAACCATTGGGGGCAGTGAGTGACAGCGAGAAACCACAGGAAGTATTTACAAATGCATTATCTACAAAAAAAAACAAAAAGAAAAAAAAAGGATGGGATATTTGAAATCTGTTTTCCCCAAAACAGGCAAAAATAGAGAAAGAGACCCAAAGGTAGAGTGAGCAAGTGCTAAAATGTCCACTGGGGGGAGTGTGGAGCGAAGCCAGTGGCTCTGAACGCCTCTGAAGCTTCATCACATCGTGTAGATGACACCGGCTGGCCGTTAACGCCACAGCTGTCAACATCTCATGTGACCGTCGTCATGAACGTCGACCACCACGAGATCATTTCAGTCCCTCAGTCACTCAGGATGAGTACCAGTCGTCCGTCTTTCTCCATTCTCCCCTTTTTGGTCTGTTAGAAACTGCTTAGGAAGCCTCCTCGTCGATCTTCGGCGCCAAGTAGTATTTGACGTGTCCCATGTCGGCAATCTTGTACTCCACCACTGTGGGAAGGAAAAAAAAAATCTGTCAAGTCTGAGCCACGGCGGATGAAATGAAGACTTTACTGGTAGTCGAGTCAGAGAAGGACTTACCGAGGGGGATGTCGGCCGACATGCTGAGGGTGACCGTCTTGGACAGCGGCGTGGCCTTAGTGAAGAAGTTCAGATAGTTGAGGGCGAAGATCAGCTGGACGGGCTCGTTCATCTCAATGGTTACCTGAAAACGGAAAAGTAAAAGGTGTGTTAGAGCAGCCAAAGGAACGGCTTTCTAACAGGCTGTTGAAACTCTATTATTATTTTTAGATTAATTATTCATTGCAGACAAAAAAAAGAAAAAAAGGACATAAATCTTGACAACTGAGAAGCTGAACAACAACTAAAGCAGCTGAAGTTGAATTTGCGCCCAAGTATTTTAAGCTAAAACCAATAAGAGTAAGAAGCAGAACCAAAGCCAGAGTCCAAACTGGGTCATCTGACCTGCTGCCAAGGATGATGTATGATTCAATTAATGGCACAAAGCACAGAGGAAACCCATTAGCCTTTACAGGGCTTTAAAAATGGACAAAGTCACTGCTACGCCTCAACAGAGTCGATGTTTTTACAGGTTTTTATAACTAATATATCTACAGAATTTACATTTAATACGTTGATAAGAAACCCTTAAACTTTACTGCAGAATATTCGGGACCAGGACAAAATGTTTACAGCTACAAAACAAACATCTCATCTCCCTCCTCAGCATGTCAATATTATGGTTTCCTACCACATCTGTGATGAGCTAATAGGTTCTACGATGCACTAAATGTTGGGTTCACGTCTAGTCTAACACTCACAGCCTCTTCCTCTTTGTCTACGTTGCTGGTCTGGGACAGCTTGATGTTTCCGGTTCCCAGCTCCCCCGAGGCGGAGAACTTGACTCCGTCCTTGGCGCAGGAGATCATGACGGCGTCGCCGATCTGAGACAGGTCGCGGCAGATGCGAGCGAACTCCCCGGAGGGCATCTTCACCACGCAGCTGTACTCCTGCTCCTGCAGGGACAGACAAGGAGAAGGTCAGATACAGCGTGTAATGAAAGCATGGCTGGAAACAAAAGGACGACGACGGGCAGCGGATGACTTACTGGAATACCGAGCTGCTCCACGTCCAGATCCATCAGCTTCATCTCGTAGTCAGAGACTTTCTCCTGGTCTGCAAGAACGAAGGGAGGCGGTGAATAAGACACGAATGAACACAGTTAAACAGAATCTGTCAGGTTGGTTTTATTACTACTTTACTTACTGACTGTCTCAAAAACAAGAGCGAGTGTGTCGGCGTTGTCTTCTGCTCTGAGGGTGATGATGTCCTCGTTTCCTGCACACTTCAGGATTTTTGACATACTAGATGACAGAGAGGGAAAAAAAGAGGGTTACACACCGAGATGGTCTGATTTATATTGTTGAAATTTGAGATGATGCATGACAGTCAATACTTTTCCCAAAAAAATCAAAATAAGAAAATAGCATGTACTGCCTTTTATTCAACTAAAAGTAATAACAGTGATGCTTCTGTTGGCAGATTTAAAGCTGCATCATATGAGCGGAAATTGTCCTTTAAATGCATTTAAACCGGTAAAAACAGCTGGATCGGTTATATGTTGGGTAAAATCGCGCGCAGACTTGAGGGGAAACACCGGCGCTGCACGGACTTAAGGTAGTGACGTACAACCGGAAGTGGAAGTTCCCGGGTTAAACAGAGATTCCCGCCAGCAGCCTTGGCGCTCAAATGACGTCGATGAGTAATCATAATAGCGCCCAATTCTCCTAAACTGCGCCAAAAATTGTAATTTCAACACCAAACAGCGACTTTGAGGCCGATAACGGACTGAAAACGGGTCTAACAGCCTCTACTTTGTGAGCTGACAGTAAAGAGTTAACCGGTTCGGCTCAGAGCCCAGCTCAGAGAGGCATGCCCGGGCAGCTCCGCCAACATGGCCTCTCTTTGTCAGCCTCACACATCACACACAGAACATTATAATATATTAAAAGACAGACACCGGATCCACCGTTAGACCGAGTGGAACGATATCAGGCGACGATGTGCGTAAAAACAGCTCCAACAAACCGAATCTAGAGCCGCTTCTACTGCGGACAAACTTGATCAAACTACCACAGCAGCTACATCAGTCAGTTTAACTCCTATAAAAGCTAACATCACTACACATTAAAGACCGTGAGTGGTTTTATGGAGGACGTGGACTTTGTGCCGCACCTGCTCAGGTTCACTCCCATGGCGAGGTTTCTGTCGCAGCGGTACGAGTCGAAGCCGTCGTGCCGCAGGGTGAGCTGGACCAGCGAGACGTGAGACGAGTCCATGCTCTGCAGCGAGATGCCGGACGAGCTGACGTCCCAGCAGGCCTCCGTGATCAGATCCTTCAGCGCCTCCAGAACCTTCTTCAGGATGGAGCCCTGGACCAGGCGAGCCTCAAACATGGTTGCTGTGGAGTTTTACGTCTGCGTAGTTCGGAAAGAAGAAGGAAGAGCTTTCGAGCCGCCTTTTAGCGTCGCTCCGTGTGAAGTGCAGGCTGTAGGTTGTAGTTTTCGGAGTTCAGGCGCTTCTGGAAGTTCAGGCTTTGTGTTGTTTTTCGCTCGGCGGCTGCACACGGACGCGACTTTCGCTGCGCAAGAGGAGGTTTGAGCTGGAAGCGCGCGCTAACGTCCGCATTTAATGGTTCGGCGTCGTTGCGTCATCACGTACGGACGTCGATGCCGCCCACCCGCTAAAAACAGTGGACGCTGATGTCGGCCATGTTGGAGAGGACAAGAGTGTAAACTGTGATAAAAACCTGGCAGTGAGGTCGTATGTTGAACACAGACCTAAACAGGGACTATAGTTAAACATAAACTGAATGTAAATGCACTTTATTAGACCATTTACAAATTCTGATGTACTTTAGTGCAATTTAAAGGGTAATATTTATTTGCACCTTATGTATTTTACTGCTGAAGCTATTGGTCATATTTCAAATTCAGCATGTTTTAGACATTCAGACTAGTTTTCACCTATTTTAGTTCATCTTTTATTTGATAGGGACACTGTAGTTTAACACAATTCCATTACAGAGCATGACACTGATGTTTTGCATAAAGAGTTTACAGCTATTGCTAATTTTAAACTTGAAGACTGTACAACATTTACATACACATCTGTCAGGCTTATAAACCACAATACGCTAAAGACATGACAGTACAACGAAACACAATGAAATGCATAAAAGGGAAAAGAAATAAAGCAACTACAAATTGTTGAAGAAATATAAATACTGATATTTAAAAAAAAAAAAAAAAGATAATTTAAACCTAAAGGTTAAGATCATCCAATATTATGTAAAATACAAGTTTACCTAACTAAATTAAATATTAAGGTTAAGAGCCCACATTATATAAAACACCAAACTGAAGAACCTGCAGTATTATATACATGACCCCACAACTCCAAAGATTCCTACCTTAAGCACATTGGCTACAATAGACTCCCTTTTAACAGGATAGTGTGCCATTTATATATCTGGTTGCTGTGGTCACCAGCTGCCTTACAAAAATTTAGTTGATATTTTTAAGTATTGTGAAATGTGGGATTCTGCATACAAAGCTGTTGGATCCCCTCTCAGGTCTCATTAAATCACACTGATCATGGATCAATAGTCTTGAATTTAACTTGCATAGACTTTGACTTAGAGAGGAATTTATACCACCTTACATTACTTAGTATTCTATAAAGCACACAAATACATCACATTATATAAAATTATCATCTTAAAATGAATGTTTCTCTTGTGTTCCTGCTCTGCAAAGAAACTACATCTGATAAATAAAAATAGGAGGATATGTACTATATTTATTTTGAAATGCCATGACATAGGAGTGGAGAGTTACATAAAATTGAAATAATCTTTGGTATTTTCACTGCCATTTTCAAAATGCATTGTAAGTTTCATATAAAAACGAATCCTAAAATGTTTAAAGTACAACTAAAGCAAGTCTTTTTTTTTTCTTTTTGCATCTTTACCAGTGACAGTCATCACTTTGCTTTTGATTTTAGAGTCGATCCAAACTAATAAAAAAAACAGTTCTTCCTCTTGTGTGGAAATAGTGCAAAGAACAGGATGACATTAAAAATTGATTTATTGATCAATGAGAAGCGCTCGTCTCGACACAGCTTCACAAATCACAGGTACGCCCCCGTTTGGTCGCACACGTACAGACGCACATATAAAAGGATGTTGGTTTTAAAACGGCCTTTAAACCCTGAGAATATACAGATTCAGGTCACTTAACAGGCTCGTCTGACACTGGACTCAGATATGAAGGATGTTCAAAGGTCTTAGAAAAGAGAGCAGCGAACAGTCGTACAAGAAAAGCAGTCTGAGGTATTAAGGAATGTCAGACATGAAAATTTGCATTATGTGTTGTGGCAGGCATTTATATTTGGACGGGTACAAATTTGAGAAAGGTCGGAGTGCAGACGCCGTGGCCTTTTCACTCCATCTGCTTAGAGACCCTCGGACAGGATGTAGTTGGTTGCCATGGCGAGGATGGGGGCTCCTGTTGGGACACCGGGGAAAGGACCGCTGGACCCGGCGATGTCGATGTGGGAGTACGGCAGAGGGGTGGCAGAATCCACACCGTGCTGCAGTGGAAAGTAAAAACACAGATTAATCCCTGCACATCTTCATCAGCGTCCAGCAGGAAACTTATTGTGACAATGTGTGAGCACCTTGTCGAGCCCCGAGGCCATGATGAGGAAAGCTGCAGGGGTCTGATGTCCTCGAGGCGTGGCGGAGGACGGCAGGTTGTTGCACTGCAGAATGTCCTCGTACTCGGACTTGCCCTTGTGGAAGTCGTAGTCCTCTCGTCTGATACTGGACACCTCGAACACGTCGCCCAGCTCCTCTCCAGCTGCAAGACGTGATGAAGATCATATGTTAAACTGTGTTGGAAGCAATGAAGCACTGCAAAGCAACGAGCAGGAAAAGGGTCACGGTTTCTAAGTATGTGAAGCTGCCCCAATAGCGACATCTCCTGGGCAACCTGTAGTACTGCATCTGTTGAGAAAGATGTGTGGTTTCAGGATTAAGCGGTGCATAGATAACGGATGGATGGATGGATGTTTCTTCATCAGAGGAACTGCTTCAGTTGTTGCAGTTTATTTAGTGGGGAAAGGATGATTACAAGTGAATTAATTCCAGTGTCGATAAAGGCTACAGCTGTGGTTGAAAGCTTTGGAAAGCACCAGTAAGTATCCATCCATCATCTCTACACCGCTTAATCCTCACTAGGGTCATGGGGGGCTGGAGTCTATCCCAGCCGACTCAGGGTGAAGGCAGGTTCACCTGGACAGGTAACCAGTCTATCACAGGGCTACACTTAGAGACAGACAACCAAGCACACTCACATTCACACCTACGGACAATTTAGAATCACCAATTAACATCAGCATGTTTCTGGACTGTGGGAGGAAGCCGGAGAACCCGGAGAGAACCCACGCTGCACGGGGAGAACATGGAGACTCCACGTAGAAAGATCCTGGCAATGATGCTAACCACCGAGCCACCTTGCAGCCCCAGTAAGTAGACTTTGAATAGTTTCTGCTCAGACACGCATAATCTTTATTATTGTTTTCTTACCTTTCTGCCACTGGGCAGCATTTCCGCTGCGATGGGCCGGTCCATTATCCATGATGATCTACAACAAAAAGTTCACATTAGTTTTTTACAGCACCGAGCTGTGCGGATACGTGATATCCACAGATGTTAAAGTATTTTCTGTTTTTCTGTGCGGTCCTTACAGAGTAGTTGGGTCCCATGGCTCTGATGGCGTGACCAGTCAGCGTGGCGATCGTAAACAGCTGAGGAGACGTCTCACGTACCGCCTGCAGAGACACCAAGGGCACGATCACACTGAGAAGAGATATAACTGAAGAATATGAATCAAGAGGTGACTTTAACGAGCAGTCCTCACCTTCTCCTTCATCTCACAGAGCAGGTCGACCATCACCATGCGTCCCTCGGCGTCGGTGTTTCCCACCCTCACTCTGCGACCCGCACGGGACACCACCAGCTCATCGGCCACGTAGCAGTCTGAGAGTCACAGACGTGTATGAAGTCAGCTAACAGGAGGCGCTAAAACTTAGAAATATCACCAGGACTGAGTGAAGCACACTGACCTGCACCCACGCTGTTCCTCACCATGGCCATGGCGCCGACTACCTTCAGATGTTTGGGCTTCAGATGGGCTAAAATCTGCAGAGTGGGAAGGGAGCAGCAAAAAGTGAAGTCCAAATTAAAATGTCCAACTCCTGGGAATTTCCAAGGACATAAATAATGCAAATATGGGCTCGCAAGGAGGAACATATTCATCTCTGTGACTCTAATGGGCTTGTTGTTAATCACGGCCGAGCAGCGTCTGAGTTCAGCTGTTGATTTACAGCGAAGTCACAATATTTATCACAGCCACTGAGGTTTTATGATTCAGGTGCAGTCGCTCACCTGGAAGAAGCCGGCAACTGCAGCAGATCCACATTTGTCCCTGTGCATCCCGGCCATGATGCCGCCGGCCTTGATGTCGGCTCCACCGGTGTCGTAGGTGATGCCCTGGAGACAGAATCAAACCGTCAGCCATGCAGCGATGCAGCACATGCTAACAATCCTTTCATTTGTCCTTGATTTACCTTAACGAGGAGCTGTCATTAATTCTTTTTCTTATCAAATTTCTGCAAAATTTTCTGAATAATCAAAAAATTGCTTCATCAAAATTGTGAAAATGTCAAAACAACTTCCT